CAGTCGTCGGAGTGCTCGCCGATCATAGGAGTAGTCACCGGAGGTGGGTTGGGGTGGGGTGAGTTAATTATATTATATTACATAATTTACAGTTAAATGTTTAATTTAATATAATAATTGTGGAATATAATTAATTAATTCATGAAAACCTGATTTTTGAAATTCTAAAATTTGGGGTCTGATTTTTGATTTTGGGATAGATAAAACCTGAGTTGTGAATTTTTTCCTACATTAATTGAAATTTGTTTCAATTTTTTATGTATAACTAAAATTAATATTAGTCAAAACTAATTGACAATCGACGTGGAAATTAAAATTATCTTAAAACCTTAAGAGTTCAAATATACAAATGATACGTGAACTTTCTTTTTAAAATTACTTACAATCTAAATTTATTCCAAAACAACGCTCAGATTGAAAATGAGAGAGAATAAAAGATAAAAAAGTGCTTTAAAGACTATTTTGAAACACAATGGGGTCCATTTGTGGTCACCCTATTTTGCGTAGATTAAAATTCATTTAAAATTTTTAGTCAAAATTAACCATTAGTTTTAATCGCATTTCATGGAATCCATTACTTTTCAAACACATCATCAAGATCTTTTATAAAGATTTACTAGAAATTTAATTTTCATTGATATAACACAATGGCTTACCATTATTGTATTTAAACTTACATTTTTAGAGAAACTTTTACTGCCATGTTAACATGTATACTACTACAATTGTTATGTATATACCTCACATTATAGTATAATGAAGTTTAGCAAATTCCTAAATGGTGAAAGACATGAAATTTCACAAAGGATGTCAAGGTTTGAATCAACCTCTTTGCAATTTGATAAAAAAAAATTACATTGTACTTTGGTGACCATCCGATCCCTCTTAAACATTCAGGTGGGGATCGAACCACTATCCGATTCGGTAGTTCTCAAACCGATCAATTCGATTTTAATAATTATGCTCAAAAATCTTATCAAACGATCATTTATATATAGCTTTTCCCATAAATAAACTATTCAAAGTTAGCCAAGCCTGTTTATTTGGAGCCTGTTTGAGCCCTCTTTTTCTATGTAGAATACATTTTAAAATAGTAAATTAATAAAAAATGTATGGTTAAAAATGAATGATTTTTTTTAATTGCGTTTAATATTATTTTATTGAAATATTTGTGGTTGAAAAAAAGAAAGAAAAAAAAATGTATTTTAAAAAAATAGGGATCATGAGCTTTGAAAGGGAAAAAAATATATAAATAAATAAATAACAAGAGGGCACTATTTATCATGTCTCACATATTTGGTCCTTCTTGAAGAAATTCGTTAACCGTGAAAGACTGAAAGTTGCCCTTGTGTCAATCGCCCAAACCCCAGCACCATCCAAAAATCCATAATTCATGCCCTAAAATCAACGCCAAATTTACAGAGACGCGCGCATCATACTCTTCTACACTTCACACACACGGAGAAGAAATCGCAGAGATGGCAATGGCGGCCGCCGTAACAAGTGCCTCATTCACCCTCGCAAAACTCCTTTCCTCCCCTAAAATAAAGCAACCCCTCTCTCTCCTCGCTTCACACAAAAAGCCCAGTTCCCTATTCTCCTCTTCCGCCGCTTTTACCCCATTTCCCCCTGTCCTCCGCCACCCAAAACCCTTGAAATTCTCCACCACCGGAACACCAAAAATCTCCGCCACCATTTCCTCCGGGGACAAGCTTCCCGACGCTACCCTCTCCTATTTCGACTCTTCCGACGAGCTTAAAACAGTCTCTGTGTCTGAGCTGACTTCCAATAAAAAATCTATTCTCTTTGCAGTTCCGGGGGCGTTTACTCCCACTTGTTCCCAGAAACATCTCCCGGGATTCGTTGAGAAGGCCGGAGAGTTAAAGGCCAAGGGGGTGGATACAATTGCGTGCATTTCTGTTAATGATGCGTTTGTGATGAAAGCCTGGAAGAAGGACCTGAATATTGGTGATGAGGTGTTGTTGTTGAGTGATGGGAATGGGGATTTTACCAAGGCTATTGGTTGCGAGCTGGATTTGAGTGATAAGCCCGTAGGACTGGGAGTCAGATCCAGGAGGTATGCTATGTATGTGGAAGATGGGGTTGTGAAAATCTTGAATTTGGAGGAGGGTGGCGCCTTCAATGTTAGCAGTGCTGAAGATATGCTCAAGGCCCTTTGAGGGTAATGTTTTTTCTTTGAGCTTTTCAAGTTGAGTTTTTGTTCATTATGACGAGGATAATAATGGTTTTTATCTCTATGAATAAATGTGGCAGAGTTATGTAGACATTCAGATGAAATCTACGGGTAATGTTGCCCCTGTGCATGGAAATTTATGGTCTAAATGAAAGCTGTTTTGTTTTTCGATTAGATATTGTCTTGTTCGCTAGAAAAAAAAAAGGTTTGTTGCATTGTTTAGTTGAAGAGTCCTTGCGGAAATAGCCTTATAAGTGCAGATAACAATTTGCTTTTTGGCTTGTGCGAGTATATGTTTTAGGTGTTATTTGATTTGGAAAATATGGCTTAAGGTTGATAATGTATGGTCTGAATATAAGTTTTGGATGTGGACAGTATATAGATTGCTCTTTTTTAATTCCGAAAGTCTCTATTGTGATTGTATGGATATGGTGAAAGATATTTAGATGTTCAACTTTTTGTGCACTCATATATGTACATTCAGGTTAGTTGTGCTTGTGCATAAAATTGTTTTTCCTATCTTTTTTATTTGGTGCGACTTTGAGTACATGCCATAAAGGGTTTTTATGCCTGCAATCTAATGCACAAGACTATTTTTGGAGTTCGGTTGCTAGCTACGAGAAACTTTTCAAAGTCTAAAATGATGATTGTAATTATCTGTTCTCCGTTTACCATTACTAGGAACAACACAGTTGTATTCACATGAAAGCTATATCGACGTGTTTACCATGAACTGAGTTTGATATACAGTCGGACTTAAAATGTCTCAAGAAGCTAGTCTTGTTATCCATTACACTCATTCTTCAAGATTTTTTTTTTTTTTTTTTGTGCTTTGTTTCATGTACCAAAATTGGAAAATGGAATATCCATGCATTTTTAAAAAGAGTTCTTGGCCTTCTGGCCTTGTGAACCTGAGTCTTTGACTTCCGTAGTGCCAAATATCTAATATATGTTGGATACCATGGTCATACGACCTGGCTTAGGTAATATTAGAGTAGCGTCTTAGTAATCTGTTCAGCAGCTAGTCCACTTACAAAAAAACTATTATAATCATTTTAGTTTTCAATGAAGACTTGTTAGTGCCAACTGCCAAATAAGTAATTCGTGCTTGATGTTGCCACTTTTATAGTTCTGGTTTCAACTTTGCATTATGAAGTTGAGCCTCTCAAAATGAATCGCTTGCATTCAAATAATTAGTATTGTAGTTTAGCATTCTTTAATTTACCCGTGGATTTTGTCCATTGTAGTCATAGTTATCACACCCAACCCGATCAAAGTACCATATTTGTAGTTGAACTTGTTTCTAGACTCTGTTGTTAACGTGTGATGTGCATGGAACATGAGCAATCCAAAAATCGTATAATTTGAGTAATGTTGGTGGGAACATATGAAGCGTTTTATTTTCATGTATTGATTATTTAGGTAGCATAAGGCCTTTGGATCCAATCACATCATTTGGTCCTGAAGGGTGAATATGAACAGTTAGCATTGAATCTTGTTGAATAATATGCTTGTTCTCTTTGCGCGCATATCAAAGAATTTGGTGAATATCTACCCCTCTACCTGCAAGCTTTACAAGATTTCGCTCACCAACACTTGCAAGTTGAGCACATTATTGAATTGTATACCAAAAATCTGGTTCAAGATTGTATTCGAACTCGCTGTCTAATTCAATGTGTTTGTTTGATTTGTTAAGAATTGAGGTTCATCTTAAAAAGTCAACCTTGATAAGACGAGTAGTTTAAGCTCTTATAAATTGGTCTTTCTTTTCATCTTTATTCGATGTAGGATTTTATCCCTTAACGTGCCTCCTCAAGATGGTGACTTGTTTGAGCATACCAATCTTGAAATTTGTGTGCTTAATTTTATTTTGAGTCTTAATCGGATCGAATTGCTCGTTAGAGTTTAATGGATTCTGATATTATGTTAAAAATTGGGGTTTCATCTTAAAAAATCAACCTTATTAAAAGAAGTAGTCCAAACTCTTATAAATTGATCTATATTTTTATCTTTATTCGATGTGGGATTTTATCCATTAACATGACCAAGTCCATGAAAAAGATTGTGTTCTTGTTTGTTCTTCATTATCTAAAATTTATTTTCCTTAAGCTAATATTAATTATACTTTTTTCACAATAAAATAATTTTATATGTAAATTCATAATTTTTATCTACTTTTTAGCCATGGATTCTTATTTTTCACAAAATTTAATCTGAAAAAATCTCTTCCAAAGAGTGATTACATCTACCGAATAAAGGCCAAAAAGAATCAGAAAGGGAAAAATGCGTGAATTCCGTTTGGTGGGCGTTTAAAGAAGGCGAAGATACACGTGAAATGAGCTTCCAATGTTGACATTTAACACGCGGAAAAGAACAACTCTTGGGAAGGAATCGTCAGCACACAAACATCAAAATACAAGATGATGTTTAACATTAGTTTTAGTGACTTGTTTAATAAACTAGACAATATTAACGATTTTTTTTTTTTTTAATATTGTTTACTTAAATATTGTTATGGCATATTTAGTANNNAAATATTGTTATGGCATATTTAGTAAGGTGTCTAGACAAGATGACGTGAAGAAAGAAATATTAAAATCTTGTCAATTATAATATTATTTTGATCATGAAGATTAAGGGCCTGGTTCCGATTTTGTAATCCAAAAATATTGATTTTTTTTACCCTTTTTTTCAGCACATGGATTCCACTTAGAGAGAGGAAGTCAAATGTTGCAGCTGGCTCCTCCTGCAACTGGAAAAAAAAAATTAAAATTAAAATCTTGTCCAAAATCAGAAACAGGCAGCCGCTACAAAGCATTGGAGACAAAAATTTTTTTTTTGAATTTTCATAGAAGGCGCTAAAAGAGGTTACACGGAGGAAAACCTCCAACACAGGCTCTCCACAGAGAGATAAAGTGCTACCACGGCCCAAATAATGACCACACAAACTATACAAGACTCAAACAAACACATACAATACACGACCCGATAACCAACATAGACAATAGACGTCGAAGGACAGCTGTGACTGAAAAGCCAACTACGCACTCGGCACTTTAGCACCCCCGCTCACAAGGAAA